CCCTCTACCCAGTTAATGAGAATCATCTCCTCTGCTGCAGGACTGACAGCTCCTTCAGCTTCATGGCATTCTTCTTTACCTTCATGGCCCAGCTGGTCATCAGCATCATCCAGGCCGTGGGCATCCCAGGCTGGGGAGTCTGGTAAGAGATTGGGGTGTCTGGGATGGACCCACGCCTGGGCACCCGTGGCACCTTGGGTGTGTCCTTTGTTTACATCTTGGGCTAGCTGCTTGGCCTGTAAGAGGATTTTCAGGGTAGTGTAGTAGACACAGCCATAGCAGCAGAGGGGAAGAAGAACCTCGCAGTGGTTTTTGAGGTTACCAAGAGGTGAACCCAAGAGCAGGAAGCATGATGGGAGAACCCAAGGGCAGGAAGCTTTAGTCTGAGGAGCTTATCTCCTGAGTCCTGGTAAAGGATTTTTCTGAACCATTGCCATAGGCCCTTTGGATGATCTCTTTGCATCCGATGTTGTGGCCCCTCCCTGTGACAATGAGATTGCTCCTGGCTGTGGTGGGGTGGCTCCCGGTTATCCCTCACCATGCTGGCAGCCCGACAGCTGGCCTCTTCTTGCAGCGGCTGGATCGCCACCATCTCCTTCTTCGGAACAAATGTTGGCTCAGCAGTGGTGATGCTCATTCCCACCATCATGTTCACGGTCGTGGCTGTGTTTTCCTTCATCGCCCTCAGCATGGTATGTGGTCACCTCAAGGTTGAGAGGGCGGCTTTGGTAAGGGGCTACAATCTGTAACAACCCCTCCTCCATGTGACAGGAGGACCCAGAGGTCTTCCAAGGGACTCAGTCTAAAATGGCTTGGTGGACTTTGCTCCTAGTACACAGGGCAGGTGTGGGAGGGAGGACTGGCTTTTACAGGGACTTATCTCTGGCTTCCAGGTGTTTCCTGGATAGGCTGCCCCTGCCCTTTGATTAACCTTTCCTTGTGCTTCTCCTCCTACAGGTTCATAAATTCTACCGGGGCAGTGGGGGGAGTTTCAGCAAAGCTCAGGAGGAGTGGACCACGGGGGCTTGGAAGAACCCACACGTGCAGCAGGCGGCCCAGAACGCAGCCATGGGGGTGGCTCAGGGGGCCATGAATCAGCCGCAGACTCAGTACTCCGCCACCCCCAACTACACATATTCCAATGAGATGTGAGCCATCCACGCCTACCAGGAGGGCAGGGCTGGGGGTCAGTGGGCCGGGGACTCAAGCCACATTGTCTGTTGTGGTAACCAAGCAGGGTTCCTCCCTCCCTTTTCTCCTCCCCACCTTTGTACAAAGAATCAGAGTTATATATATATAACTCCCCCTTCCCCCACTCCTTCGGATTCTGCTCTCAGCGCCCTGAGAGCTGTGGGCTGCACGTGGAGCTGTCCCGTGCGGTGGTAGCTGTGTCCGTGTCCCCTTCTGAAATAGTATGCAGTGGAGGTCTCTGTTGTTGCGGTGCTAGATGTATGTTTAGAACTAAACCAGCCCCCACCCTCCACCAGGGTGCCCCCTCTGACCTTGGCCCAGGGACCCCTCATGGACCAGGGGGAGGCAGAGCAGAAAGCCTGGCTCCTTCCCCAGGGTTATGAGCTGAAACTGTCTCCACTTTTGATGTCACTGGGAAGGAACAGTATTTAGCACTCATGGGGGCGGGGAGGGGGGGGTCGATAGGAAGGTGGAGACAAGCTAGGGATCTTCTTTGCTCTTCCTGATCTGGTCTCCTCTCTCCTTCTCCTCCCTCCTCTCTTCCTGGTGTCAGATTCCCTGTGCTTCTTTTCTTGCCCAGGGTCTCTCTCTTCCCCATGTGGCTTATCTTTGTCTTCCCCAAGGCTGAGTGTCCCAATTGTATCTGCTCCTGAGACTGAGCCCATTCCCAAACCAAGGAAGTAGACAGGAGCTGAGCCTTAGGCGCGATGTAGGAGGGCACACAGCTGGAGATGCACAGCCTACCTGGGTACCCGACTCCCAGAAAGTGGAAATGCAGGGTCATCTCAGAGCTTGGCCTGCAGGAGTAGGCTCCTCTCTTCTCTGCCCTGCTTCCCCTCCTTCTCTTCCCAGAGCCCCCTTGAACTTTTCTGCCTGTGTCCCTCCCCATACCCTCAGCTGCTAGCCTAGCCCCATCCTATGCTAAGTGGCATCTGCCATCCATGAGGGCAGATTCCACTGCCTTCTCTGAAGAGCTGGGTGGTGTCCAGGTAATGTTCAGGTGTAAAGTTGCAGTTGGAGCCAAGGATATGTAAATAATTATTGGTCTCTGTGTGAGATCTGGCTGGCCCAAGCCCACTGGGCAGGTACCAGCTATCTCTGAATGACCATTGGATTCCTAGGAGCAAATAGCTGTTCTGCTTGGGTCTGGTAGAGTGGCAGGCTTAGAGGCTGGGAAGATCAAAGAAGGCAGGCGGGGCCCAGTGAGAGGAGAGCATGCCTCCTCCCACCCCAGCTTGCTTTTGGTCATGGAGCAGTTCTGGGCACTTGAACTCAGGTCCCGGAAGAAGCACATGTCCAGTCCTGTCCATAAGCACAATGGCTGGAATGGGATTTCAGGTTGGATGGGGTGGGAGTGGAAGCCCTCTGGTTTGATTTTTTGTTTTCAAATCAAGATTGCTTTTTCCCTTCTGCCTATTAGACTTGTTTTTTGGCCCTTCCTTACCCTGTCAGGACCCCCTTTCCCTTGCAGGATAGTGATTTAAGGCCCGTGGGGATGTTCTGTTCCAAGCATTGTGAAAATGTCCCTGGCTCTTTCTGAGTCCTAGAGGGAGTGGATTCTCACCCAAGGAGCAGCTGCCTATTTTCCATCCTCCCTTCTCCTGCCTGCGCTATTTGGCCTGCAAAATGTAGCCAACCCAGCTTGGTCACTCTGGGCTGGCTCCAGCTTGGAACCCAACATCTGGGCTTCCAGGTGCCATCCTGAGCTTAGAGCTCCAGGCACTTCATTTTCCTGTAAGGGGAGCCAAGACCTCTGAAAAGTTATCTTCCTAATGGTCCCTTAAGCTTGGGCCAGAATATGATTGGCTCTCTGCTCTACCATTTTCTCTCCAGAAAGCAGGTGTCACAGCCTCTAGTACCTAAGAAGAGACCCAAGGTCTAGGTTTTCTTCGCCTTTCCTCTCCCCTGCCCTAGACCTCTGGCTCCCTTTCTCTTAGTCTCTCTGGTAGCCCCAGGAGGCCTGTGGTAGATCTCATCCCTGTTGGATGCCACCTGCAGTCAATTTCCTGTCCCACCTGCCTCTCTTCTTTCCTGGCCTAGACCTATATGGCCATGCCTTGGCTCTGCTCTTGGGAAGGCCTGCAACCTGTGTGTGGCCTAGCTGGTCCAGGCCCTGGGATGCTGTATCTCCAGGCAACTATGCACTTTCCTAGGGAGGGAACTAGTATGAGATATGGGGGCTGGGCAAGAATTCATCTCTGCTGGATGGTCTGTGTTGGGGCTGTGGTGGAGGAAGGCCCAGGTCAGTTCTGGGAATCCTCAGGTCTGGCCAGCCAGTGATCTGCTTTGCATTTTACTGGTGCCTACTGCTCCTCCTTGTTTCTGGGAGACACAGACCATTGTCCAACTGGCAGTTGACCTGCCTGAGCTAATGTCTGTCTGTGGTAACTAAGTGAACCATAATAAAGGGGAAAATTTGGCCCTGTGCGTCCTGCTGCATCTTGTGTCTTCATGTGGGCCTGTGTGGAGCTTCACTGTGGGCTGTGGGACATGGCGGTAGGGTGGGTCAAGTGGGTTTGTGGCCTGTCATTCCCAGAGGCCAGAAGTCACACATCTCTGTGTGATTCTCCAAGGCAACCTTGGATAGGCCTTGAAAAGGCCACACAGGCCACCTTGCCTGTCCTATTAGGAGGAGGAGTTCAGAGTTGCCTGAGGAGAGGAGGAAGTGGAAGGCTGGATTAATGGGTGGGGGGTGGTTTGGTCCAGACAGTCACTGCAGGCAAGGGCAAGGGTAGCAAGGGTAGAACACAGAGGGCCCCCACCTCAGCTCTCGCTGATGGAGACTGGCAGCTGACTGAGCAACCTCAACAAACACAGGGCTTGGAGGGGGGGAGGGTTGTCTCTGGATGGTGAAGAATGAAGATGGCAGAGAGACAGCAGCGAAGGGTACCCAGTATGCTCTCTCTGCTCTGGAGGAGTGTGTGCCCTCCATTTAGATCGCTGTGCTGGCACTTTTTTTTTTTTTAAGACTTTATTTATTTATTCATGAGACACACAGACACACACAGAGAGAGGCAGGAGGAGAAGCAGGCTCCATGCAGGGAGCCCAACGTGGGACCCGATCCCGGGTCTCCAGGGTCACGCCCTGGGCCAAATGGCAGGCGCTACACCGCTAAGCCCCCAGGCTGCCCGAAAGTGCTGTGCTGGAACTTTAAGTTTCTGGTCATCCTTCAGGATTCACCTTGAGTGACTCCTCTGAGGGCTTCCCTGCCTCTAGTTGTTTGGTCCCTCTGCTTCATGGAGGATCTTCATCTAATTTCCTGTCCCCTTGCTTGTCTCAAGAGCAGGGACAGGTCTGATTTAGCTTTTTTTTTTTTTAAGATTTTATTTATTTATTATTAATGAGAGAGAGAGAGAGGCAGGCTCTATGCAGGGAGCCTGAAGCGGGACTTGATCCCAGGTCTCGAGGATCAGGCCCTGGGCTGAAGGCGGCGCTAAACCGCTGAGCCCCCCGGCTGCCCTCTGATTTAGCTCTGTCACCCGTGCATTTAAAACACAGGAGAAGCTCGGCAAAGCTCAGTATTAAGTGTCCAGTGATGAGCAGTGCTTACGTGTGCGGTGAGAAGGGCAGATAGGCCAGACCCCGGAGAGGGCGCCAGCAGCTCCGACCTGGCGTTCGCGGCAGGACTCCCAGGTGGACTACAACTACCAGGAAGCAGAGAGGTCGACTACAACTCCCAGAAGGGTGCGCCTCACGTGGGTAGCAGGACACTCTCGCGCGGCTATGCGCTAGAGCGGAAAACAGCGGCGGGGCGGCTGAGATATCGCGGTATTTGGGGCTTCCCGAGCCGCCCCAGGCGGCGGTGAGGACCTTGGGGGTTTAGGGGGCTGGGTCCTCTCGGCCCCGCGGTAGCAGCCCTGGGAGCCTCGCTTCGCTGTCGGTCCGCGACTGAGTGTGCGTGACCTCACTTTCCGCCCGCGCGCGTGTCTGTGCGTGCGTGTGTGTGTGTGTGTGTGTGTGTGTGTGAAGGCCGTGGGTCCGCGGGGGCGTGTGCTCGCGTGTGTGACCTCAGTCTCCGGTCTGTGCCCGCGAAGCTCGGGTCGCCCGTGTGGCTGGACGGCTGTGACGGGCTGCGGACGCCTCGGCGCTGCGCTTCCGGGCGGCCGGCGCCTTAGGGACCTCCGGCCCGCGTCCTGGTGGGTGTGTATCTGCCCGAGTCCAGGTGGGTGTGTGTCTGCCCAAGTCCGGGTGGGTGTGTATCTGCCCGAGTGGGTGTGTATCTGCCCGAGTCCAGGTGGGTGTGTGTCTGCCCAAGTCCGGGTGGGTGTGTATCTGCCCGAGTGGGTGTGTATCTGCCCGAGTGGGTGTGTATCTGCCCGAGTGGGTGTGTGTCTGCCCAAGTCCGGGTGGGTGTGTATCTGCCCGAGTGGGTGTGTATCTGCCCGAGTCCAGGTGGGTGTGTGTCTGCCCAAGTCCGGGTGGGTGTGTATCTGCCCGAGTGGGTGTGTATCTGCCCGAGTCCAGGTGGGTGTGTATCTGCCCAAGTCCAGGTGGGTGTGTATCTGCCCGAGTGGGTGTGTATCTGCCCGAGTGGGTGTGTGTCTGCCCAAGTCCGGGTGAGTGTGTATCTGCCCGAGTGGGTGTGTATCTGCCCGAGTGGGTGTGTGTCTGCCCAAGTCCGGGTGGGTGTGTATCTGCCCGAGTGGGTGTGTATCTGCCCGAGTGGGTGTGTGTCTGCCCAAGTCCGGGTGGGTGTGTATCTGCCCGAGTGGGTGTGTATCTGCCCGAGTGGGTGTGTGTCTGCCCGAGTCCGGGTGGGTGTGTATCTGCCCGAGTGGGTGTGTATCTGCCCGAGTGGGTGTGTATCTGCCCGAGTGCGGGTGAGTGTGTATCTGCCCGAGTGGGTGTGTATCTACCCGAGTGGGTGTGTATCTGCCCGAGTCCAGGTGGGTGTGTGTCTGCCCAAGTCCGGGTGGGTGTGTATCTGCCCGAGTGGGTGTGTATCTGCCCGAGTCCAGGTGGGTGTGTGTCTGCCCAAGTCCGGGTGGGTGTGTATCTGCCCGAGTGGGTGTGTATCTGCCCGAGTGGGTGTGTATCTGCCCGAGTCCGGGTGAGTGTGTATCTGCCCGAGTGGGTGTGTATCTACCCGAGTGGGTGTGTATCTGCCCGAGTGGGTGTGTATCTGCCCGAGTCCGGGTGAGTGTGTATCTGCCCGAGTGGGTGTGTATCTGCCCGAGTGGGTGTGTGTCTGCCCAAGTCCGGGTGGGTGTGTATCTGCCCGAGTGGGTGTGTATCTGCCCGAGTGGGTGTGTGTCTGCCCAAGTCCGGGTGGGTGTGTATCTGCCCGAGTGGGTGTGTATCTGCCCGAGTCCGGGTGAGTGTGTATCTGCCCGAGTGGGTGTGTATCTACCCGAGTGGGTGTGTATCTGCCCGAGTCCAGGTGGGTGTGTATCTGCCCGAGTGGGTGTGTATCTGCCCGAGTCCGGGTGAGTGTGTATCTGCCCGAGTGGGTGTGTATCTGCCCGAGTGGGTGTGTATCTGCCCGAGTCCGGGTGAGTGTGTATCTGCCCGAGTGGGTGTATATCTACCCGAGTGGGTGTGTATCTGCCCGAGTCCAGGTGGGTGTGTATGTGCCCGAGTGGGTGTGTATGTGCCCAAGTCCAGGTGGGTGTGTATCTGCCCGAGTGGGTGTGTATGTGCCTGAGTGGGTGTGTATCTGCTCGAGTCCAGGTGAGTGTGTATCTGCCCGAGTCCAGGTGGGTGTGTATCTGCCCGAGTGGGTGTGTATCTGCCCAAGTCCAGGTGAGTGTGTATCTGCCCAAGTCCGGGTGGGTGTGTATCTGCCCGAGTGTAGGTGGGTCTGTATCTGCCCGAGTGGGTGTGTATCTGCCTGAGTCCGGGTGGGTGTGTATCTGCCAGAGTGGGTGTGTATCTGCCTGAGTGGGTGTGTATCTGCCCAAGTCCGGGTGGGTGTGTATCTGCCCGAGTGGGTGTGTATCTGCCCGAGTGGGTGTGTATCTACCCGAGTCCAGGTGGGTGTGTATGTGCCCGAGTGGGTGTGTATCTGCCCGAGTGGGTGTGTATCTACCCGAGTCCAGGTGGGTGTGTATGTGCCCGAGTGGGTGTGTATCTGCCCGAGTGGGTGTGTATGTGCCCGAGTCCAGGTGGGTGTGTATCTGCCCGAGTGGGTGTGTATGTGCCTGAGTGGGTGTGTGTCTGCTCGAGTCCAGGTGAGTGTGTATCTGCCCGAGTCCAGGTGGGTGTGTATCTGCCCGAGTGGGTGTGTATCTACCCAAGTCTAGAGTGGGTGTGTATCTGCCCGAGTGGGTGTGTATCTGCCCAAGTCCAGGTGAGTGTGTATCTGCCCAAGTCCGGGTGGGTGTGTATCTGCCCGAGTGTAGGTGGGTCTGTATCTGCCCGAGTGGGTGTGTATCTGCCCAAGTCCGGGTGGGTGTGTATCTGCCAGAGTGGGTGTGTATCTGCCTGAGTCCGGGTGCGTGTATATCTGCCCGAGTCTAGAGTGGGTGTGTATGTGCCCGAGTCCGGAGTGGGGTGTATATGTGCCCGAGTCCGGAGTGGGGTGTGTATGTGCCTGAGTCCGGAGTGTGGGTGGTGTGTATCCGAGCGTCCCACTGCTGCTTTGTGCTGCACTGTGATTGCTCAGTGTTGTTTAGACTAGGTTAAAGGGTGGCCCTATACTTACCCTTAATTTAAAAATTGGCAAAATAGAAAAAGCCTTTGTGTGTTGGAGTTTTATCCCCTAGATCTGCGTAAAAGTGCTGAATGGTGTTTCAAAATTAGAATGTGGCTAAATTTTGCCAGAGAAAAACTTCCTAGTGTCCTGAGATGTATTTAGAGGCCTGTGCCAGCTGATAAGCAGGAGAGATTCCTATAGTTGGGGAAGTAGTGAAGGTCTTGGGAACAGGGTTTTTCCTCACCTCTCTTGCCAGTGTGTGGCTCATAGCCAGTGTGTGTATGTGTGTGTGTGAATTTGATATTTAATTAATATACAGTGTACATATATATTAATATACAAGGCATAGAATACAAATGTATAAAATATATATAATATAGTGTATAATATATGTATATATCCCCAACATGTGGGCTTGAGGAGGAGTGCCTGAATGGGATTTCAGAAGCTGCAGAGTCCAGCTTGCCTGCCTCTAGTGAGAGAGAAGAGCAGTTTTATTTTTTATTTTTTTTAAAGATTTTATTTATTTATTCATGAGAGACACACAGAGAGAGGCAGAGACACAGGCAGAGGGAGCAGCAGGCTCCGTGCAGGGAGCCCGACACGGGACTCGATCCTGAGTCTCCAGGATCAGGCCCTGGGCTGAAGGCGGTGCTAAACCACTGAGCCACCCAGGGTGCCCGAGAAGAGCAGTTTTAGCAGAATGCCGAGGCCTTGAGCTCTCTCGCGAGTTCCTTGTCTTACCTCGGGGACAGGAATTTAAAGTGTCCTGTGGCCTTTAAAATTTTTTTTTTTTAAGATTTTATTTATTTACTCACAAGAGACACAGAGAGAGGCAGAGACACAGACAGAGGGAGAAGTGGGGCTCCCTGCAGGAGAACCTCATGCAGGACTCAATCCCAGGTCTCCGGGATTATGACCTGAGCTGAAGGCAGATGCTCAACCACTGAGCCACCCAGGTGCCCCAGCCCTGTGGCCTTTAAAGTCTTTGGGTTTGGGGCAAGGATGACATTTTGGGGAGCTAGAAGCTGTTCATTAATAGTGGGGCAGAGTATAGTGTGTTGACTGGTTGGAGATGGGGTCAGAGCAAAAGCCTAGAGCCAGGAGTGAAGGGCTTTGACCTCAGACTAGAGATGACAAGCACTTAATGGATCCCCGAGCCCCTCATGTTTGGTTCTGCTTTGTCCTAGGCCCCAGCCCTTCTCTGTTGCTGTGTTGGGCAGTGCTTGTACCACCTGGTTCTCTGTGGCTCCACACGTGCCCCTATTGTGACTGGCAGGTATTCCTGAAACCTTTACTTAACTCTGCCTTCATTACGCTCATCAGAGGAGGCTTACAAAGCACAAGTTTGCCGCAAGCAAGCTCTGGATCTGCCTTTTTTTTTTATTTGAGAGAGAGAATGTGTGCATGCTCAAGCAGGGGAGGGACATAGAGGGAAAATTTTTTTTTAAGATTTTATTTATTCATTCATTCATGAGAGACGCAGAGAGAGAGAGAGAGAGAGAGAGAGAGAGGCAGAGACACAGGCAGAGGGAGAAGCAGGCTCCATGCAGGGAGCCTGATGCAGGACTCGATCCCAGGTCTCCAGGATCACGCCCTGGGCTGAAGGCAGGTGCCAAACCACTGAGCCTCTGAGCCACCTGGGGATCCCAAGAGAGGGAAAATCTTAAGCAGACTTCACAGCATGAAGCCTGGCATGATTCTGGACATAGGTTCTATCTCACAGCCCTGAGATCGTGACCTGGGCTGAAACTGAAGTCGGACGCTTAACCTACTGAGCCACTCAGGTGCCATTGTCTGGTTGTCTTTCTAACAGAACCTGCCATTTTTCTGGCTGTGGCTTACCTGCATGAGGGGTGCTGGGAGCTGGAGGCTTAGTAATCATAGCCTTCAGCTCTTACAACCTCTCTGCCTGCCAACTCTTTCTGCTGCTCAGGAGTTCCTGAGTCCAGCAAAGCCCAGAAAAATCAGGCACTATCTATAGTTACCTTGGCTGTGCAAGTAGGTGGTTCTACCAGGACCTGGCTAGAGTAACAGACTTAGTGGTTTGGGATTTGATCTTTTTTGAGAGTAAACAAAGAGCTGCCAGCTATCACACTTCACAAGATTCTTAGGTTGAACCAGTTTGATTTTGCTTTCAAATATTGGTTGAATTATCCACTTTCTGTTACTCAAATACATCTGTCCCTCACCCCTGACACCCAGCCCACACTCACTTTTCTCTAAAGGTAAGTAGGCTTTGGTCCTTTTAAACCTTGCTCATCAGGCTAAGTAGTAAATCTTGGGCTATACCACCTACTGTGGGGAAGCAATTGAAATCCCTAACATGGCTACATGGCTTCATGCTCTAAGTTTTGTCTTTGTTTTTAAGATTTATTTATTTTAGACAGCAAGTGTGAGCAAGAGGAAGAGAGAGAATCCTCAAGGAGACTCCCTTCTGAGCATGGAGCCTGACTTGGGGCTTGATCCCAGGACTCTGAGATCATGATCTGATTTGAAATCAAGAGTTGGCTGGTTAGGGATGCCTGCGTGGCTCAGTGGTTGAGCGTCTGCTTTCAGCTCAGAGCGTGATCCCCCGAGGTCTGGGGATCCAGTCCCACGTCGGGCTCCCTGCAAGGAGTCTGCTTCTCCCTCTGCCTATGTTTCTGCCTCTCTCTGTCTCTCATGAATCAATAAATGAAATCTTAAAAAAAAAAAAAAAAGTTGGCTGCGTAACCAACTGAGCCACCCAGGTGCCCCGTGCCCTAATTTTAAGTGATTACTTTCAGTAGCCTCTTCCTTAGAAATGATATCAGCTTGATGTAGAGGCCGTTCGGGGACTGCAGAGATGAAGTTCAGCCTGTGGTGCGGCAGGAATCTCCCTGACCTGGCATCAGTTGGCTGGGGTGGGACAGGGTCAGGGTTTGAGATCTGGCAGGTAGGTGTCCCTGGAGATTCAAGAATGCCTCCATCACCTGAGGGTGCTAATCAGTGTGCTGATTAGTCCTGGGAAGGAGCTGGCTGATAGGCCCTCTAGACCTTGCCAGTTGCTAACAGGGCTCCCCGAGGCCTGGAGTAGACTCATTTCTGTTCTGGGCAAGCCTGGCCCTGGCTGAGGCCCTGATGTAGAGCAGAGACTGAAACAGAACTGGCAAATGGGGGAGTCTTGCTACCGGGAACTGGCTTGTGCTTAGCTCCTGCTGATTAATCCCTGGGTCTGGGCTTCTGGGAGATCTTTCCAGGTAGGAGTAGGATAATAGATCCAAATATGATCCTTAGCTCATGTGGATGTGTGCCTGAATCCTGAAGGCAAATACCGGACAAAGCGGTCCTCGGGAACCTAGGGGCCTGTGGAGAGAAGAGGAAGCCCCTATGGGTGTGCAGCCATGGAGGTAGTGATTCACAGATACTTCCGCCTCGGAGTTTGCCTTGGTTTCCCCTCCTGCTGCTGCCTGTTTTGAGTGCATCTTCCAGGACCCTTGTACAGAGAGCGCCCACAGCTGTCTTTCACACATTGACTCAAGATTCTACTGGAAGGAGCGTCAGAGATCACCTGGCCCTACCTCTATATTTTTCAGATGAAGAGACAGGTCCAGGGAGGGAAGTACTTGGGGCCAAGGTCACATACCAGCCGAGGAGCACGACAGGGGACAGGGCCCAGGGTTCCTGATGCACCAGCCAGGCTTCTGTGTCAGTGTCCTGTGCCCCACCCTGCTTTAGAAGGTACAGTTAATTATTCCTCCAGCAGTTCAGGACCCACCAGGTGCCTGGCTTTTGGCAGTTAGACCTGGTCACACATTCAGGGAACTTGCTGGTGGTGGTGGTGGTGGTGGGGAGTGGAGAGAGAGAGGCAAGGAAACGGGAACAAATTGAATCACTAATCACCAGAAAGGTGCATCTCAGAGAAGGGCCCATCTCAAATTATTTCACTTGTGACTTCTGTCTTCTCGACTCATCTACAGATTCCCTGAAGGCAGTGGCATGTCTTCCACAATTCCTTTGCCCAGTGCTGGACGTCATTGGCCCTCAGATAGTTGCTGATGGAGTGGGTGCATTTTGCTGACCCAGCTTGCGGAGTGCGGGTTTGGGTGTGTCCATCAGCAATATTATCTTAGACACTCCCTTCTAGCAACATCTGCGGGCCAGAGGAAGAGACCAAGCCCTGGTCCCATGGGGATGGCCAACATCCCCTTTATGCTTGTTTCTTCCTGGGCTTAGATTTGTAGAGTGGTGTCCAGTTTGATCCACAGGGACAGTGACAGAGGCAAATCTCTCCACTCCCTAGATCACCAAAGTCCTGTTGCCTAGGGTTTACCACCTCTCCGGTGTCCCTGAACCTGTCCCATCCTGCTACTCCCTTCAGTCAACCCAGCCTCCTCCCACCTTCATCTCCAGGGCCCCCTCCACACTCGGCACCAGCACTATCTTTCTAAAGTGAAAACCCGCCCTGGCCCTCACTGCCCTTGACATTGCCCTTGACCTACTGCAGCTTTACCTCCTGCCACCCCCTACCTCCCATCACTACCTCACTACTAAGCTGCTCCTTATTCCCCAAACCCACCACCCTCCTTAGGCCTCCTCACCTTTGTGAGATTATTCCTTCCTGCATAGTTATTTCTTTCTCGCTCTGGGAAACGCACTCATCCTTCAGGACTCAACCTGATGATCATTTTTGGGGGTCTCTGAATTCCTCAGTTACTCCTGGGTAGCCACGGCCCCTGGTACCAACCCTCCTCGCACCCCTGGACCGTATTACATGGTACCTGACCTCATCAAATTGTGTGCCCCCAGCCGCGGGGACTGCTATCCCCTCAGCAACTCCAGTGTCGGGCCCAGGGTACTCGATACATTGTGGTGGAACGTATGAGTGAAGTGGGTGCCCCTTGTTCTGCTTTTAGATTTGAAGTCCTGACAGAGCCTCGTGGAGACCAGTCCTGGCAGGCGCTGAGGATTTGATGCTCTTAGAGCCTACATGGAGCCCAGCACCTCATGTCCGGCCGCCGCCCCCTTGGTGAAGAGACCGTTTCATGTTCTCGTGGGCGTCACTGGGAGTGTTGCAGCCCTGAAGTTGCCTCTTCTGGTGTCTCGGCTTTTGGACATTCCTGGCGTGAGTATGCTGATTAGACAGCGTGGCGGTCTCTGATGGTGGAGAGCTCCAGGGGCCAGCCCATTTTTATGCACTGCACGGGGGTTTTTTGTTAATGGTGGTGCGTGTGGAGGCCCTCCGTGTGCCTGGTGTGCAGGCGATGCAGGAGGCAGTCCAGTATGACCGGGAGCTAGGTGAGAGGGTGTGGATAGAGAATGAGGGGAGACCGGGAAAGAAACACCGCTGAAGGTAGGGTTTGGGTTCCCATGTGCTGACCCTGGTTCCTTGGGGTGCTGGTGTGGGAGGAGGAGCGTCCCCTTGCTGCCCCACCCCCATTTCACCTTGAACACTGCGGCTTTAGTCTCCCTCCTCGTTAGACACCTTGGCTGTCCTGTCCATCTAGATGCGCTGCAACCTTGGGTACCCCGTTGCCTGCGGCTCTGGTTTCAAACTGCTCCTTCAGGTGTTCAGAGATGCCTGTGGGGCACCTCCATTTTGACCAGTTTTATATAGTTATATAAATTTTTATATATTGGGGTTCTGGGGCAGATTCTTCTTCTGGAAAAGTTCAAGGCCTTAAACAGTGTGAAAGCCAGGAGGTACTGACCTCATTTCCTTGTCTGGTCTCTAAGGTCTATTGAACTCCCACTGCCTGCATTCCACCTTAATGGCCTTTGCTTTGGCCTGTTCCCTGCCAGGCTGTCACTGCCCTCCTGTTCCTCTGCTTCTCTAAGTTCTGCACAAAGACTTTATAGGAAAGCTTTCCTGGCCTGCCTCGGCCCATGTGGCTTTGCTCCCTTCATTTTAAAAACTCAAGTGATGAGGGGCACCTGGCTGGCACACTGGGTAGAGCATGCAATTCTTGATCTCCGGGTTGTGACTTTGAGCCCCACACTGGGCATAGAATTTACTTAAAAATATATAAATAGGGGATCCCTGGGTGGCGCAGCGGTTTAGCGCCTGCCTTTGGCCCAGGGCGCGGTCCTGGAGACCCGGGATCGAATCCCACGTCGGGCTCCTGGTGCATGGAGCCTGCTTCTCCCTCTGCCTGTGTCTCTGCCTCTCTCGCTCTCTCTCTCTAAGAATGAATAAATAAAATCTTTAAAAAAATATATATATATATAAATAAAATACCCCAAAACAAAAACAAAAACAAACCCAAAACCCTCATTTGGTGTCTTAAAAACCAGAGACGGGCAGTAAAGTGGTAAAAACATATTTTGTTCAGAAAAACTATCACAATAAGGGAAAAGAGACCTTGATGGAGAACTGGGGTGATTCCAAATACAACAGGGAAGAGTAGGGGTTTCTAGTCAAGGAGCAGGTGAAGGGCAGTGGATGGAAAATTTCTAAGAGGAAATACCATGAGTCAGGAGGGTTCTGGCTCAACTGTCCTTCCAGGATTCTTGGTGCGGACAGGCCAAGGTGATCAGTCACCACCTGGGGGTTGTTGAGGGATGAGGAGCCTGATGTGATGTCAAGGCTGAACGGATAGCGAGGGTGAGGGGCTACACCCACTGAACAGGAATCTTGCTCTTAAGGACCAGGCCCGAGGATCGGCCTAGTTAAAAAAGTGGCGCAGAGGAGCCTGACTAGAGTTTGGTCTGGGAGAGAGTCTGGACCGAGATATGAGGGACCACAGGTCACGTTTGACATTGCCCACGTTGCTGCACAACTTGGGTGCACTGCGCCTTCTGTGGTGGCACGGGTGCACGTTGCCAGGGCGTCCAGCAGAGGGCAGTGCTCGCTTGCAGGTGACCGTGTCGGGACTCCAGGCAGGGGTGAGAACTCTTTTTTTTTTTTTTTTTTTCTTTATAACCCTTACTTTCTGCAAACTTCCCCCTGGGAAGTCACCCCCTCACAGTCCCCCTCATGCTGGGCAAGCGGTGAAGCAGGCAGCCAGGGATGGCAGCGAGTCCAGATTGGGGAAAGGAGGTGAGTTTTGTGGCTGTTGGGCAGTACCACCTGTAGCCTGTCCCCTCTCCCCGAAAGGCCCAGCACTGTTGGTAGGAGTTGGTTAACTGGCCCTGGGAGCTGCAAGGAATTGTTGCAGCCGTGACAGCCTGTGCCCCTCTGGTGGGAGCCAGCCAGGCAGTTCCCTTTTCCCACAGCCCCGGAGCAAGTGAGTTTCCGGCCTGAGGGCGCGCGGGGGCGCCTGGGGGCAGGGCATCCTATCCCAGGAAACAGATGGGCAGCCTTAGAGCTGGGGGAAATGGCAATTCCCCCACGTCCTGCTGCCCTGCAGCCCGCCTTACAGCGCTGAGGGAAGGGTTGCCTGAAGCGGGGAGGCTCTCCAGCCCACCGCAGGCCCTGGCCCCCTGAGGGGGACAGGCCTCGCCTGGAACAGGAACTGGTCTCTCCCTCCCTGGCCGGCGTCAAGCTGAAACGCTGGCAGCCAGAAGGTCACTGGCCTTGGAGGGCGGACTCCCTGACTTAGCCTCCTGGAGCACAGCTCCTGGCACACAGACGCGCCTAGTGGTGTTTGTTTCCTGTCCTTCACCCACCCTGCCGTGTCCTTTGGGCCAGCCACGTGGTGGGGTTGCTGGGGCTGGTGAGACAGCCCATGGGGGAGGAGCTGTAGGAGCCAGAGCCCTTCTGCTCTTGTGGAGGGGCCCGCCGCCCACACCACACCCGCCAGCTCATCCTACAGGTACAACAGCTCTCCAAGAAGCCTGGATTTGCTTGGTGGGGGCCTTGTGAGGTGTTGGCAACCAAAGGGGGGTCCTTGCTTGGCCCGCTGCTGTGGCCTCCCCACGCTCCCTGATGGTACTGATCCCCCCCATTGCCCTCTTTCTGGGTCACCCCAGGAGAGGTCTTTGTCCCATGGAAGGTCCTTCTCAGCTCTTTGCCTACATCATGAATTTACATGCTCAGGGCTTTCCTGAACTCCCTAGGCAGCTCTAAATTTTGGCCAGCAAACAAGTAGCTGAAGTGCGGGCTGCAGGGAGCTGGGTGATTCTGCAGATCTGGCTCATAACTGCAGGTGTGCCTCATTTTATTGTGCTTCGCAGATACTGAGTTTTCTTACAAACTGAAGATTTGTACCAACCCTGCATCAAGCAGGTCTGTTGCTGCCATTTTTCCAACAGCATTTGCTCACTTTTTGTTACCTTTTCGTAATTCTCATAATATTTCAGACTTTTTGATTATCATGACTGTTTTGGTAACCTGTGGTCAATGATTACAGCTTGCTGAAGGTTCAGCAATAAACTACTTTTATTTATTTATTTTATTTCTTTTGGGGGGACAGGGGCTGAGGGAGAGTGAGTTTCACGACCCTGAAATCATGACCCTGAGATCACAACCAAGAGTTGGATGTTCATCTGACTGCACCACCCAGGCACCTTGCAATAAACTACTTTTAATTAAGGTGTTGTTAGAAGTGGAGGAGGGAGAGTCAAGTGTCCTCCAGACGGAGAAGGCACTTTGAGACTGAAAACTGAGCCACTCCATAACTTTACAGAGATTTATTCAGGGTAACTGATGAGTGAGAGGGCAGGCAGGTTGGGTGGATGACGATCTGGGCGCTACACAGCTGTTCTCTGCCAAGTCCAGACCTTCACCTATAGCTTTTATAGAGTGAGGGGCATGGTGGGGTCAAAGAGTAGTTTTCTAATGTGGTGCCATCTGTGCAGCAGAGGATCTCTACTGGTTATCTAAAGTGATGCCCCTGGGCACCAGTTTAGGGAAGATCAGAGCAAAGCTTCCTGCATTCTGGTCAGGGCATACATTAACCACCTCACTCCTGGAGGGAGGTCATTGCACAGGCATGAACAAGATGGAGAGTCCAATATGGAGTCATTGTTGTCCGTACTCCTACAGGTATGTATGTTGCTTTTCTAGACATAATGCTACTGCACATGTAGGAGATCACAGTATGATGTAAACATGACTTTTATGTGTACTGGGAAACAAAAAAAATTTATTTGACTGGTTTTATTGTGATATTTGCTTTGTTGCAGTGGTCTGGAACCAAACTTGTAATATCCCAAGCTATACCTATATTCCTGACTCACCAGTGTGTCCACGTATCCCAGGAGAGCCACTGGCTAGATCCAGATCAGAGAGATGGTGGAGGGGTGCTGGAGAGGAGCTGGGTTTGGCCTCATGACTCACACACCAGCAGTCGAGGACAGTGGCCACTATAAAGAATCCCGGGAGACTCTTTGTGGTCGGGGGAATTAGTAGTGGGGGCCAGCTGTACCTCAAGAGAGGCAGCTGAGCATAGAGGACTTCTCATGCTGGGACTCTGGGCAGCTCAGGTCTCCTTTGTGGCCTCAGTTTTCTTAGCCCTGTAATGGAGTGGGGGCGGGGTGGGCACGTACTAAGCGATCCGTCTCCAAAGCCTCTTCTGGCACTAGTGCTTGAAGAGTCTAGATGTGAGGGCAGAAAGGAATAGGACCCGAAGGAGCCTGGGAGAAGGTCCTGGAATGCAGGAGCTTCGGGGTGTCTCGCAGCTCCACAACTGTCATGTGATCAGGTGGTAGTTCCGCCTCAGCACCCTGTCTCTTGGAGGAGAAGACGACACCTCTAGCTTTTGCCAGGGCGGGTGTCAGCAGGCGGCTGACAGCAGGGGATTTCTTAAGGTGGAGAAAGTCTCCCATTTGGGGAGTTGAGGGGCCTTGGGCATAGAGAAGGTCATGTTTCTAGGAAAAAAGTTCCCACTCATATGTAACATGAAGTGAATTCTGCCTCTGTGGAGGACCAGCTGGCAATATCTGGAAAGACCACGTGTTCATGCCCTCGATTCACACGTAGGATTGAATCCTGTAGGGTACAGAGATTCACTGTATGTACACGATGTTCATTATAGCATTATTTATCATTTCAAAGCAAGACAAAAACCAAAACTGACAACAGACTGTCCAGGGATGGAGAGCGAGCTCTGGTGCACTTTTGGTCCAGCCTTATAACGGATCACGGGCCGCGGTTCAGAGGATGGATGCATCTCGGTGTCTGCGTGGCACCAGTCCTCAGGATGGAAATGAAGTGCGCATGGTACGGGGGTTGGCACCGGGGCC